TGCACAAGTGTGTTCTATGTTAGAAGATCTCTTCATTTTGCATGCCATGTAGTTACCTTTCTAACATCTCTTGAAGGTAAGTTTACAAGCTCGCAAGAGGACACCGGGGCTGGTGAGATGATGCTTATTCCTATCCTTGTGCTGCAACTGTATATGCAGAAAGTACTGATGTGGAAACAAAAGATAATACAAAGTGATACAGCTATTAATTGTTGAAATTCAAGGCTTAATAACATTCTGTTGATGAGTGTCATTTGTTTGAGCTACACCATGGGTTAATTTGACTATCTGTGACTAAGTAGCATGACAAATAGACACCCTGGAAAGATAGACTTCGCTGCAGATGTGATGATAAAAGGCTGCTTTCTAACAATTAGCACAAAGGATTCAACAAAAAAGTCATCCTGAACACTGAAATACAATCTATTTAACATACAAATTGAATTGAGAAGTCAACTGTTTAACATACAATTAACTCAAGGAAATTAGTGTAAGGAGAATAGAAAGAGGTTTAAAGATAGGAATAAAAATTAATCCACAATTGCACTTATTGGGATAAAATTAAGAGGGCTATTCATCACTTTAACAATCTGGTGTCTGGAAGATACCTCTTTAATACTACTCTAACCATATCACAGCCTTTGATAGTTAAATATCTGGGCATTTGATGGCATGTGACTGCTTTCCTTGAAGCTTCCAGTCTTTGTCAGATGAAATAAATCAAAATAGAGCAGCCATTGTCTGTTACTCTGTAAGAGCTGCCAGCTGATTAGCAGTCCCCTATTTTTTTTTTTCTTTGAATGTGCAGACTCTTTCATGCTTAAATTTAATGCTTGCTGCTTCATGCCATGCATCTTCAGCCTGTTGGCAGCAACTGGCAAATCATCATCTGTTTATTTCCTGTGCTTCCCTTGGTTTTGGGAAGGGCTGAGCCCCAGATGAGTGCCATGTCACTGGAGCAGCTCAGTAAGGTTTGCAATCTAAATGCTAATCCGTCCTCTTGTACAGCGACTCAAGTGTGCTGCATGTGCAGGAACATGCCCTTGAGGCGGCTCAGCCTGGGATTCTGGCCTCTGTTCCCCGAAGGACAATAAAGACAAAGTTTCTTGGCTTTTCTGTGCCTTTTGATTTCTCAGTCTGTAGGATGGAAGTTATAAATACCTAGGTTCATTAGTTCCTTTGTTCACAATCGATATGTTTAAGGAATGGATTTATTGAACCAGTGTAGGGTGTTATGTGTGTTTAAGATTTCAGGTATCATCTGAAATGTCTTGCTGACAAGACTTCTTGAGGGTTTTTTGTTTCCTGAGAAAAGCAGCCAGTATAATTTGGAGATGCATGCCATTTGGGTGGTGGGGAACACAGACCACAAAGGGATTTCTTACACATGGAAAAGCCTTTTCTGTGTGTGTTGCTATGGGAGTTTTGTGATGCTTGCTCTGTTCAGGAACTGCCAGCCCTGTTTCTGTTGCTGTACAATCTGGTCTGCCCTGTGCTTCTGGTGTAGGCTCTGGCTTTAGCCTTTTAAATTGTACAGAGTTGGGTTGGTTTAAGTTATGCTTTTTTAGAAAGAATTGTGTTGTATCAGCAACCAGCCAGGCTTCTGCTGTAGCTACAGAATGGCTAGGCCTTTCATGAAGTTTAGGGGTAGAGTGAAGGAGAGCAGGCGATTATTTTGACAACATGATGTGATCAGCTTAGTGTGTAGCTTAACATCACAGCTAAGCTATATTAAAAGCCAGTGGCTGAGCTGGTAACATAACACAGTGATCTTAAATTAAAGAAGGGCCTGGTGGCTGACGTGGATCCTCACCTAACTCTTACCCCTCGGCCCAACAAGTATCCAGTGCTGTTGCTTCAAGTTTTCAGTTTCCTTTTTCCTCTTACCAGAGTAAAAATGTTCTTGGTCCAGGTTTGGCCTAGATATTTCTCACATTTAGTGGCTGACCACCTGTTAAATGACCTCTGAATCTAATTGAACTTCTGCTGTGTCTTTCCGGTCTCAATATTGATGATGTTCCCCTGTCCTTCCTAGGAGGTGGTCTTCTAATAACCATAAAGAGGAAAGCTTGTTTCTTGCTCCCATTCACGTTCTCCTTAATTATATCTAGGTATACATGCTGACTTCATCGTAAATGAAAAGCTCAATTTCCTAGGCTTTTAAGCAGAGCCACAGGGCAGGAGGTTTAAGGATCTTCTCTAACTATAGAAACATGTCACATATAGTTTGGTTTCTCAAATAGCAGCTGCCCTGTTAAGGAGTACAGTTCTTAAAGTACGTGTTGAAAAAGTTGCAATGTGCTTGTGGCTTGTTTTCTTCTTGCTTTCTAGAGCTATAAATAGAATTTGGTTTGTGATAGTGCAAGGAGAAATTTATTCTTTGTATCCTTAATGTGCCTTGTATGTGGCAGTCTGCAAAGTAAAGGCTTTTGTAACTATAAAGTATGTGATCAGACTTAGGAAAACAAGCTGTTTCTTGGCTTGGATTTGCTTCGACAACAGAGTTGACAACGGTGTATTTGATGCCAGACGAAATTGTCATTCCTTCATAAGTCAGATTTATGAGTGACACTGTCTGAGGGAGCATAATGGTGGGAGTGACTTCTGTAGACAGCTCTCTAGAGGCTGCAGCACAGTCTTGGTTAAAATGAAAAGAAAATATTTCTTACGGACTTATTGTAGCGTGTTAAACAATTTTCTAGTGACCTAAATAGAGGAAGAAGTTAATAGAATTGGGAGCTTAAACCCAAACACCCACCCACACAAATAAAAACAAAATCCCCTCTGACTTCTTTGTGCCAAGTGACTTATTCAGAGGCAGAAGACAAGCTCCTTGCAATTGAAGTCTCCTTTCCAAATATTGTACAAGCTTGAAAGGCTCGTCCTGCTGTACAGGGAGGTGTATAGAACTCAAACATCTGCTTGCAGTATGAGACAGGCCTTACATAGCTTCTTCTGAAATGTCTTCACTAGACGTTTGATCCTGTATTTTATTTGGGGTTACACATTTGGAGGTGGGAAAAAAATCTAGGTATCATCCAAAACTGACAATTACTTTTTGATGTAGTTTACTGTGACAGATACTAAATAGTTTCATAAGCTGACGTCTTTTGAAAACAGCTTTTTTGTTACTTGCCACTTTTTTCTAGAAGACTGATTGGAAAGCTACCCAAGAGGCATGTTTTTACAAAAACAGTGAAGAATTCATGAAGAGTTGATGAGAATTTGGCTTTAGTGTACGTTTTTAAAGCCTGTAAACTAATGTTGATGGTTCCTTTTCAGTACTTTTGAACTAGCTGAAATTCATGGAGCAAGAGTGTGTTTAAGGTTGCTGTGAACTGATGTTTGGTTTGCACACAGTCTGTACCTGCATCTGGATTAAAAAATCCCGACAAGATAATCCAGTTGAGATCATAATCTTGTTTCTAACTCTGATCTTGCATCACAGGAAATTCATCAGTCTTTAAGTGAGCACTGGTACACAAATAAAAGGTTTGGGTAAAGGAGGCTCTGAATGCCTCAAATGTTGCCTTAAAATTGGAAAAGAAAAATTAAGATATTTTTTAAAACTGAGTTGCAGCCTGAGATAGAGGAGGAAATTCTAGAGAAATATAGTCCCAGAAGCAGGGACGAGAATGCTGGGGCATGCAGGAAGGGAAAATGCAGATGCTGGCAGGGTCACTGTGCCCCCTAAGCTGCTGGAAAAAAAGCTGCCGGTGGTGATAGGGGACGAAGATGGTTTCCCTGTACTTCAGCAAGGTGGGTGTGCAGGAAGCAGGTGGAGTTTGGTTCAGTGGGGAATCTCTCATCTTCTGTCCTGAAGAAAAAAGGGAGGCAGGGCTGTTAGAGCTCCTGTGGTGTTTTTCCTGGCTGCGGCTCCACAGGGAATTCATGCCTGGAGCGGTTGCAGCTTCTTGGCCAGGATGCCAGTGCCTGGTGTAAATGATTAGAAAACACTTGTCAACCTCAGTCTATGGTACAATAGCTTCTGCACATCTTTGCTTTATGCTGTCCTGGTACAGCACAAACTGAGATACACTGCCCTACTACTCTTTGTTCTGTTATTGACTTGGCCCAGCTAGGGATCTTTAATGGACTCTGAAGCTGTTACTTTGAAGGAGTTTTATTATTTCTCAGGTTTGTTTCCCATTACTACTGAATTTTCAGTTGGAGGTTTTTTCTAGTAAGCACAAATTTTATACTGGAGATGCAGTTTCTCTGCCAAGGTACAGGTTGTATTACAAAAGCTTTGTCAGGCTTGCGTAATTTTGGCGGCGACTGGCAATTTTGATTGTTGGTTGTCTTTTTACATGAATTATATTTACCATATCTGTGGTTACTCAGGCACTGCCAGACAAGACACATTCATGAACTTGTTGAATGTGACCTTGGTATTGAACCACACAGTAACAGGTGTATTCAGTTGTTTCATCTCCGAGTTCAGCCAGTCATTGCCTGCCATTCAAACTAATCATTTACTTACTATCTTGGGGATAAAGTGAGATGTGCTATTAAGGCACATGCAGGTACAGGTCCCTTTGTCTATTGTGTGAATAACGAGATCAGTTCCAAGAACTTTGTATCAGGTCATGATTTGATTTATCAGGTAGAATGAAATTGAAGCCTCAGATTCTTTGGATGAAGATGGGGTCTAGTCTCAAATCAGTGATGTGCCAGGCTCTGAGAAAGCTTTGGAGGTAGATTGATAGTTTGTAAATGAAGCAAGGTTAGAAGGAAGTTTACCACTGATGTTTATCTTATGGTCATGATTTGAGCTCACACAAGAAAACAGTTCAAACCAAGAACCTTAAGCATAGCTCTTGATGTATGGTTAGGGAAAATTAAGGCGGAGAGGATAGTCTGAAAGACTCACACATGAGCATAACTCTTCTGCGACCCTGCCATGTGTGTAGGACTTCTCAATTTAGAGGGCACGTGGGCATGTGTGTTTTGGGGGAGTCAGTTTCCTAAAATTAAATATTCTTGACTTTTGTTCCTAGGGTCACATGATTCTTTCAGCTACTGGGTTGATGAGAAATCTCCTGTGGGACCGGACCAAACCACAGCCATCAAACGTTTGGCCAGAATTTCCTTGGTTAAAAAAATCATGAAGAAATGGTCAGTAACTCAGAATTTGACTTTCAAAGAGCAGTTGGAAGGTGGGATCCGCTACTTTGATCTTCGTGTATCTTCCAAACCTGAGGAAATGGGACAAGAGATTTACTTCATACACGGCTTGTTTGGCATCAAAGTATGGGATGGGCTGAAGGAGATTAACACTTTCCTTGAGCAGCACCCCAAGGAAGTAATCTTCTTGGATTTCAATCACTTCTATGCCATGGATGACAGACATCACTTCTTCCTGATCAACAGGATCCGCTCAGCCTTTGGATCCAAACTTTGTTCCATTCAATGTGTAGAATATGTAACATTACAGTACATGTGGGAGAAAAAATACCAGGTAGGGAAAGGATGTGTAATGTTTTTCAAACCTGAAAGGTTAAGATTTAATTAGAGGCTCAGTATGGCTCCCACTCAGAGGTCTTGGCCTGAGTGCACTGCTGACAGCCAGTTTAAAGCCCACTAGGGCCTCCTTTATGTAGCGTGCACGTTTCCCTCCATTTACATGCAGTTGTGTAGCCCTCCATCCATGGTGTGGCTAGACTCTGTCCTGCTCCCAAGCATGTTCCTTAAATAATGAAGAGAATGATAGTATCCTCAGGGCCTTGTGCTCCTTACAAATGGTTTTCTTCTCTGGAAGGGCATGTTGTGCTGACTTGTGGTGGTGAGGATTTGATAAACTGTTGTCTTTTTGACCAGTGTGAAGCATGTAAGCTTTAACGTGACAAAGGTATCTACAGCTGGTGGTATGCTTTATCCACTTAATAGGAGTTACGCAGAAGGCCATAAGGCAGGTGAAATCCTTAGCTTCAGGTACAGATGCTAGTGTTCTCTGACAGTACTGTGAAATGCTCTTAAACTGAATGCTTTGAATAACATTTCAGTATGCTGCTGGCAACTTCTTCATTTTGAACTGATGACCCTTAAAACCTGAAGCAATCCTGTCCTCATAGCTCACCAAAGTGATCTTCATCTCTTTTGTTGGCAGTAGTGCAACAAATTTACTGACGATCATGATTCACGAGCAGCTTCTTTTTGCTTGGGCCTCTTTTAACTGCTGTGTTAGCTGCAGTACTGCATAAGCATAAACTAATGCAACATCCTGTTTAAAGATAAATAACATAACTGTGGATTTTTGTTTTTTTCCTTTTTCTTTGTTCTGTTAGGTTCTCATATTCTACCACTACCCTTTGTATCAGGAATACCCTTTCCTGTGGCCGGGGAATAAAATACCAGCACCATGGGCTAATACAACCAACGTGCACAAACTGTTACAGTTCCTGGAGACCACTCTTGAGGAACGAAGTCGTTATGGGACTTTTCATGTTTCTCAAGCAATTCTTACACCTCGAGTGAATACTATTGCACGGCATCTAACTCGTGGTCTGAAGAACACGCTTGTCCGTAGGTAAGACTTGTCTTCATTTCTCAGCTCTTTACTTACCACGTTTCATGTTGAAGGAGGCACTGAGTAAGCAAGAAATTAAGAAATCTTTGCTTAGAAGTAAGATGATGAAAGCATGCAGTTTTGCTTCATTATTGTTGCTCGTGAGAGATTTGCAGTCATTAAAAACAAAGTAACAGGGTGTATATGTAAGTATAATTGTGCTTCCTGATAATTGGAGCTCTTTGAATGTGATGTGATTTTGTAAAATGTGGGCTGGACCTGTTGTTTCAAACCAGTAATTCATCTCAAATTGGCTGAACTTGAATTTAGTGGGGAAAAAACCCTTGTGCTGTAGAGGAAAATTGCATATTTGTGGGCTTGGTTTTGCATTTGTCTGTACAAGTCTGACTTGGTAGTTTCAGTAATGGCCGAAGATGTATGACATGGGGTGGTATTTCATCTTGGGTTTTTTACCAAAACGTAGATTAACAATTTGACTTCTTTTATACTACTGACTGTTGTAAAATTAATTTGCCTGCGAGTAAGATCATTAGAAGAGGGGTTCTCTTTGAGTAGTGCAGAGTGCCAGTGACTTTCTTAATAGTGTCAGCAAGGTGACCAGGATAGGATCCATGTGACTTTGTTTTATGGCGTTATCCCCTTGTAGCCTGTTTGCTAAAAATTGCTAGAACTGTAACAGTCCAGTGGGATCTGGTCTCCTGGCTCCCTGTTTACTGTTGCCTGTTCTGATGTCACTAACAGTTTATCTTGCCATTATGATATTAAGTTTTAAATTATACCTTGTATAGGTGGTCACCACTGGTTGAATTTGATGGACAACTGAGCTTAATATTAAGCAGAGACATGTGTGTTTATCTTCAGCAGTCAGTTCATGTTCCCTTTGGGAGAATTACTGGTCACTTTAATAGTAATTAGTGTTACTATTTTGAAGCTAAAGTCGATATAACATTTTTATTTTTTTTTTTAGAAATGTTTTTTTAGAAATCCTTTCTAAAAAGAGCAAGTGTTGTTCTTTTTCAGTCACAAAAGCGGTTGATAAAAGCACAGAAATTCCAGGTGAAGTATAAGTCATGGAGTTTTAAGTCTCCTTCCTGTTTACAGACATTAATATAGCAAAAGAAAATGAAAACTAAATGATGCTTGCCACAATAGATTGAGGTCCCTGCTCTGGCTTGCTCTTTGCCCACACCTGTGCGGTCAGCAGTGGACACTAGATGGTGCTCAGGTGCTTTAAGACTGGTGTTTGATGTCAGATTGCACAAACATAAATACATACGGTTGGTGGGGATACCTAACACAAAGTGCAGATGTAACTTACGTCTGCATACCATATATTAAATGTACTGTTGTCTCGTGTTTAAAGGAAATATTTTACTGAATTTCTAGTTTTGAACTAGTGAAGAAATTATCTAATTTCATGGGATAGGCAAGCAGTTTTGTTTCAAGTGACTCCTGGCAGAGGGCTGGACTATAAGTCACTGGTAGGCTGGAAGCCTGCCCTCGCTCGGTCCTTCTCCCTCAGCCCCATCATTGCCACTTGTTTGAAAGTAAACCGAAAATTTAAAACAGATGCCACTGTTTGCTAAAGCATGATTGCTTGTATACATTTATACTTGGTATCTGATTTGTATGTGTAAATCTGTCTTTGCAGTTCTGTGTTGACATCTACTTTTTCATATAGAAATTTTTCCCTGAATACAAATATTTAAGTGTTCTTGAGCTCTTGCTAAAGGAGATATGTGCAACATTCACACTTACCTGGTTGAAGTCTAGTTTGTCCCCTGACAGAGTCAGTAATTATGCCTTTACTCAGGTTCTCTCTTTTCTTGGTTCTTGAAAAGAATTTCTTTTTGGAGCAAGCTCTGTGGGGTGCCTTTAGGTTTTCTGTTTGGTTGTTGGGTTGGTTTTTATTTTATTTTCCCATCCTGTTACCTAATTTGCTTGCCTACTATCTTCTCATAGAATTTTGTATGCATATTATGGCACTCAATAATTCTAATATATTTAGTCATTTGTCTCTAACTGTGCTGAAAACCTTGGGGTTTGCATGTTGTTAGAGCGCAAAAGAGCCTGTGCAACCTCCTGACTTGTACTCTGTCCAAGAAATGACTGAAACTTCTCCCTTCTGTAGAATTTTGAACTTCATTTAACTCAATTCCTGGCACACCTCATCTTTCTCTGGTTACAGTGATGTCTGGTGGGATGCTCAACCCTTACAGAACTGAGGGCTTGATTCTGGGTTTGTTTCCCTGATCCTGTTGCTCTGGGCAGGTCTGGAGGCTGAAAGGAGTTGGATAGGAATGTGGTGTGCTGCCCCACAAACTTCTTTCTTGCCAACCCTGAGGCAGAGGTGGGCAGGGGAACATCTGAGGCCCTGTATTGCCTTCACTTGTGCTACACTGAAGTCTGCTGTGAAATTAAGCTTTTGGTTCAGCATGCCCTTGAGCAAAACCAAACCAGGTTGGAAGAAGTTGCAGTGCAACATTAAATGAAGAAGCACAGTCCACTCGGTGAATACAGAGATCACGAAAAGTTATTTTGTATGTGTGGTAGTTTGGATTTTATATGTGTGGTAGATTGACCGATACTTCTATTTGATAGCTAATGACCACATGCTATGTTAATCACTTTTCTTATCAGGCTAGTTGCATTTTGGGTGACAGTCGGGACGTGATCACAAATGTGAGAACACAATTTGCAAGCAGCATGTTGTACTTAAAGTACTATGTGTATATCGAAGAGTCTCTTAAAATGTTTAATTTCCTTTATTTCTTTTTGTTTAGGAACCTGCCCATGATTTTAAATTGGGTGAAAGCACAGAAGCCGGGCATCAGGGGTGTGAACATAATCACATCAGACTTTGTGGAGCTAGTTGACTTTGCTGCTACAGTGATTGCGTTAAACGACCTCCTTTTAGAAGAGGATGAATCTGCAGCTGCGTGCTGATTGCTGTGTCCCACTTGTGCTCCTCAGTGGACACATCTTCGAGCTGTGCTAGATCTCTTATTTATTAAGTGAAACCTACTGTAATCTCTGATTATTTCAAAAAAGTTTTCTAGCGGAACGGTGGCTAAGCATCACAGAGGCAGGCCCCTTCTCCCAGCGGTGCGTGGATGGGAGCGGCGCGGAGCGTGCCGCTGCGCGTCTGTCCACGGCTGCACGTCTGGCCGAGTTCAGCCCCCCTCTGCCACGGCCCAGGGCGCTGCCCACCCGCCGCCAGGCACCCGACCCCCCCACCCCTGCCCGGTGTCGGGGTGCCCGGGCCCGCTGCGCGCACCCCGCCTGCTTCCCGACACCAGGCCCCAAACCCGGGGCCGCCGCCGACCCCGCGGCCGGCCGACCCGGCGTTGTTCTCGGGGCTCCTGGGGCGTAGCTGGGCTCAGCTGGAGGCTGCTGCTGTAGTCCTTACGCTGCTTTAGACACTACCTCCGACTCACTTGAAGAAACAATATTGCCGTTGTTCAGGGGGAAGCTGTTACACTGTGGTGAATATCCAAGTGTCCATTGCGCCTGACGGGTGAGGGCTTGGCATGCTCCGCCTCTGGACTCCAAACTGTTCTTCTGGACCTCTTGATTTTAATACTTTAATACATTTATTGCGGCCATGTTTAAGTGTGTTTCTTTTGGCATTAATTTGGAGAACATTTCAGTCTTCAAATTATGAGGATCATAATTCTCAAGCCTGAATTCCTGTTGTGAGACATTTTAGAAACCACAGTGCAACCTTTTTTCTTTTGCTTGCTGGGCGCTTGTCTTTTTCCATCCCTTGAGTTTTCTTTGGGCTAAGTCTCTCACCCAGGCAGCCTTTCTCTGAAAGGAGGTGGGCTAAGTGGGAGTTTGCTTGGTATTCAAAGATAGAACTGGAGCTGACAAGGAATGCTCAAAACCCAAATATTGAATCTCTGATTTGCAATGTGAAAGTGAATTCTGAAATCAGACCCAAAAGTTGTTCTTGTAGTCAGAGGGCCACAGCTATGGGGGAGAAGTTTCCCCAGCCTGCACCCACTAGTGACAAAGCAAACAATAGTCACACAAGCCCAGGCAGGCATCAGTGTTGCTTCTTTCTGTGGTCGTACTCATTTTTGCGTTGATTCACAAAAAAATGTGACCATGTGTGTTTGAGCCAATGCAGTCACATGCTGGTACTTACCAGCACTTCAATGACTAGATGATAGCAGTCCTACTATCTTATCTTGGGTTAAAAAAAAAAAAAAAACAAAAAACACAAAAGCGACTGATTTGCAGATACTTCCCTGCTTGGTCATCTTCCTAAAGCAATTGTGGGTGCATGAATTATTCAGTGTTTATGAATTTGTATTAATCTCCAAGCTATTTATAATAGAATGGATTGTCTTTACAGATATTTTATTCAAAAGAAAAGTATATCTTCAGATTTATTATTTATTTTATGTACCCTGTGTCTGCCATCACGGTTTGACAACCCAGAAAAAAATCCAAAACATCTTTACTTGCTTGTCACAAACTTTGAACTCAGGACAAGTTTAAATGTTTGCAAACCTTCCATGTGAACCTTGGCCGAGTTCTGAGCAGGCTATAATCTGATTTATCTGTTGGTTGCATGTTTTTCATTAGAGTTCCTTGAATTTTTTTTTAACTGAATCCTTTTTCTAAGGGAGTTGGGGACAGGGGGTGCCTGTCTCTCAAGTTATCTTTCTCCTTTTCTCTTGTGTTTCAGTGATGGGGGCAGGTCGTGAAAATCAGTTTTGGGGGATTAAAGCTCAAATTTCTGGTTTAAAACTTCTTTTGAAAATCTCAGCAGAAGGTTTTTATTATTTTTGGTATTTTTTTTTCTGTTTATGAAACTGTTGGAACTGAATTTGAACAGCACTATTTTGTTTTCAGAGTTATTCAAAATACCTGGATTTTTCCTTAGCTGAATTTTGTGTCAACCTACTTTTCTCATGGCCTCAACTGAAATTCCATGATAGTTTTAAATGTATGTGTTTGGTTTCAGGGGTCTTTTAGCTGCAAATTGTCTTAGAGCTCAGAACTTGGAAAAACTTGGTTTGAATGCTGGTGAGGCAGAAATATGTTTGCAAGATTTCCTTGGAGGACAAGAGGAGAAGTGAATATGATGTTTGCGTGTGACCCCTAATATATTTTTGTACTGTATATATCTACCTCAAAAGAGATTTATCAGGTGTAACCAGTATTTATATTGTGAATGAAGAGTAATGACTGTTGTTAGTCCCTCTGTTGTATTTATTTGAATAGAGATGTGATGGTTGTAACTCAGGGCTTTAGCTAGATATTTTTAAGGACAAACTCAGAAGTTTCTCTTAATATATTTGCTGTTAGCTCTTGCCTCTTGAAATAGGACAAAGGCATGCAAGGTGTTAAGAGTGTTAGCAGAGGGAGAAGAAATGGAAAATAGCTTTAGGATTAATGATGAAGTATGTGTGGGGAGGAACCACTTCTGTGAGTTTGGCCTGTCTGAAGAGACTCGTGTGTCATTGCAGAGCAGAGCTTGGTGTTACGCCCCTCTGGGAGGAACCTGACAGTCTCAACAGTGAGCTGAGCAATTGGCAGATAGAGTTGCCTGCAACAGGATATCTCCTGTGGATACTGTGGGCGACATTAGTGATGACATTGAGAATTGGTTTTAGGGAACCTAAAAGCTACCTGTGGTAATAGGCTGGTCTCTCTGGCGTAGCACTATAACATACCTAGATTTGTTCCCCTGCACTTTGCAAAACGCAGCTCATCTGGACTTGGACTTCGGGCTGCAGACTCTATTTTCCAGCATTATAAAAAGGAAAAGGTGAGCTGAGCAGGACGGGAGAATCACGGAAGCCGGGCAGTAGTCTGCATCCAGTGCCTGAATGGGAGGTGTGGCAGCGTTCAGCCAGGGTTCAGGCAGCAGCGTGGAGCAGGTCTGGCAGGTGAGTGACAGTGGCTGCAGCTTGTACCAAGAACCTCGGCTAAGAGTGTGGCCTCTGAGTGGGCTGCAGCTGGTACAGCATGGAGCAGCTAACAGCCCACAAGGTTGAGTGCGTACGAGCTCGAAGGGAAGAGAGATTGGCATGAATGCAGGAGAAGGCTGGGCATTCCTTGCTTTTGGTGTAGACCTGCACCTGTTGAATACATTGATTGTCTTGCTTCTATCTTCCCCAAGCAGTCGGGTTCACTTTTAAACAGATTGAAAACTGCCCCAGAAGAACTGCTCTGAGGACTTGGCCATTCTGTAGGTGGTGGGAGAGGAAAAGCCAGGAAACTAGTAGCTGCTTGAGGCAAAGTACTTGAATTCCGTATTCTTGAATAATTACTTGTATGGTTAGTTATTACAGATATTATAAATACAGGTCTATTACTTAGACATTGTTTTATGGCTGTCGTTTCTTGTCCTAATGTGCAATCACTGAATGTTGAGTGTTCTGGTGGTGTGCACACTCCCCTGGCACTGATCGCTGCCACGTGCAATTCAAGGGCATACCTGAGGCACAGGAGACCTCTATATATATCCCTGGTGGGAAGCAGCAAGGAGGAGTCTGTTAGGAAGCATATATGAGTTTGTAGAATCTTACTGTGTGCTTATAGGTGAAAATAAAGAGGAATTATTGCTCAATTTTGCAGACTGACAATCTCTTGGCTCCTTATTTATGAATCTGCTGTACTAATACATTTAACAGCTGTGGAGCTGGGAGTTGTAATATTGGGGGGGGGGGTTTTGAGAACAAAAGACAGATTGCTGCTGTCCAATTTTATCTCAAGAACTGAAGGGATACTGACTTGCATGTGCTTTGCTGTGATAGAGAGGATCCTGCTGGAGACAGTCCTGGCAAGGCAAGCTTGAGGAGTGCTGTGGTCAGTGAGAGATGTCAGACTGGGAGGCTTCAGAGCAGAAATGCTGACTGCAAAAAGGCCCCTGTTCTGGCAATCAGAGTCTTTGGAGAAGGAATAATGGGAAAATGGTATCTTTGCTCCTAACACATTCCGTCTTCTGCTGTGTTGGTACTGAGTTAATATGTTGGAGCTTAGAAAGCATCTGTGCAGTAAAGGTGAAGAAGCACTTTTGAACAGGGATTTTGGCTCAAACAGAAGTAGGGCATCTGCCAAGATGCTTATCTATTGTGCTCATCTGGCTAAGCCTTTGGAAATATTTTCTTTGCTTACCTGTCTCAGGTGTCAGAGTTCATTGCTGTATCATCTAGCAGATCAGGGTTTGGGACTTACAGATGAACAGAGAGCACAGCCGTTTTGATTTAAAATTGTGTTACCCATGGCAGTCTGAGAGAGCATGTGAGACTTGAGATTTACTTGAATATGCAATATTTAATGCAAACTCCATATGCAGTTTTAGTAAGGCTTTCATCTAGACTTGAGCATATTGTTACCCATCCCTAATAAGCAAATTCTTTGGTCAGAGGTTCACTGTTTAGGACAAAACTTCAGGCAAATTTTCAGTGGCTGTTTAAGCACAGAGAAATTGTGTAATGTGAGGAACAGAACTGACCCACAACTTCAAAATTCAAGTTAGGTCAGGATGTAGTACTTTCAGCAGTGGAAAAGAAGTTTTTTGGTTTAGGTTTGTTTTTCTTTTTACTTTTCTGTCTGACATTCTTATTCCAGCTTTGGTTTATCACTGAACAGATGGGTGGAAGAGCCAGAACGTATGCTGAAGAGCAAATAAATTTTATACTAAGAACATGTATGTTGGGCTAACTGTGGTAAGACTGTAGTGATTGACTTAGTCGTACCTTTCAATGGTAATCCTATTGGCTGTTTGGTTTAGGTGGTTAAATCAGTCTTGTTTGTATTTAAAAAGTGAGTCTCACTGATTCAATACGTCTATCTTGTTGAAGAAATATGTGTACTTCTGTAAATGTATTTGTTTCTCTACCAGACTTGTCAAGTAAATAAACTTTATTATTAATTGTAGGGAGTAGAATACAAATGTCAGCTTTAGAACTGTTTGCTGAATCTAATTATATTTTATATTCCTGAATATTTGTGTATTGTGTTGCTCATTGAAACGGTATTTCTCGTACCCTTTGTTAGACCTGTGGTAACTTCTGTGTCTCGCTTAAATTGAACTGCAATATATTCTTAATTCTGAAAAAATAATTGATCAGTACATCCTATATAAAAATAATTTGATGGTTCTTTTGATTTCTGTAAATGTCAGATGTATTTTGCAGTTGAATTTTTTAATTTGTGCTATTTATACTGTGGAAGGGGGTAGAGGGAGCCAGGTGAAGAGGAGTTAACAATTCTCAATTTATATTTTGTGCAGTTTCTCTTCTTTCTCTTGGCAGTTTGTGCTTTACCCATCTGTCCAATTCAGTTTTGTGAAACCAGGATGCCTCATTTGAACTGCAGATAAACTTGAGCTGACATCTGTTTCTTTCTGCTTTACTCTGCGTCTATATCATTGGGGTTTTTAATCCTGAAAATAAAATAAAGTACAACTTGAGTTAATCATCTTTACTGCATGTTTTGTACTGCTGATTGTTTTGATACATGATGATTACATTGTGAGTCAACTGAGCTCACGTACCTTTCTGATGCAGAATGGTGTCACTGAAGGTTGTTTTCTGAGGTGCCACGTCTCGCTGCGCTTGTGTCCACTGAGGAGTCAGACCTGGGCAACTTGCGTATTTTCAGGATGTGTTGAGAACTTTTCTGGGGAAGTAGTAGTGCGAAGTGATGGGAAGACTGTGTATGCTTGCACTCGCACACCTGCACAGTTGCGTCTCTGCTGAGCTTCTTGGGAAAAAAGCATACTAACACATGGATCCAGTTGTATCTTGAAAGGCACCTACAGTTTTTGTGCAACCCCTGTTGCTGTAATACGGGTGATGAAGCTCCACGGTAACACGCGATCAGGAAATGGAATATCGATAATGACTCCCAGAGCCTGGGCTAAGGTCTAACGATTGTAACCCAGTGAGATCAGTGAGACCCTCCTTTTGGGTTACTTTCAGCTTGCCTGTCTTGAGAATGTGGGAGTACCGGGGGTGGGGAGAAGGGGAGAGTGGATGACCCCAATTCCCTTGCGTTTTCAAACACTGGTAACTGGTGGGTGCTGTGTTTGTAGATTTATTTTTTTTAAAATTCTAAAGGTGGAGCTGAGAGTTCAGAGCATAATCACTGCTGTCCCTATCTGTAGTCTCAGACCTTGAGGTAAGTGTTTACAAACCAGACTAGATTAACAGTGGCTCACATAAATAGCTAGCTAATGCTTCCTGTAGTCTGTCTGAAATGTGCTATAGGCAGGGAGCATGCCACTAGTTTTTACTGAATATTATATACCTGTGCAGCGTATGTCTAATGTGAACAGCATGAGCTGCCGGTTTGTGAAAACACATTCATGGTTAAATAGCTTGCAATAGCAGTGTTACTTCCCCCCCCAGATCCAGATACTGTTTTCCCAGGCCAGGAATCATATACCTTAGAGGGGACTTTGGGCACAAGAATGACCACAATTTCATCATATTGCTTCCCTAGGGGGTTTAATAGTTTTGTTTTTTGTTTTTTGTTTTTTTTTTTTTTTTACATCTGTGTGCCTTTCAGCCATGCTGCACAAGGGCACATGTGTGTATACATGCACATATATGCACAAAACAGATACCTTTCATGAAGCGTATAATGAGACTGCAAAAACTAGATGCATGTTATGTGACAAATTTATGCACGCCCTTTATACCAAGTTTCGCTGTTGCCACAAACCAGTGATTAGCTGTTCAAACAGAATCATTCCTGAATTGCACATGGCTTAGTATTTGCCCCGTAGGAGGTACTGCTGAACAACCTGCATGCAGATTTCTAGCTGTGGAGGATAAACTCTTTCACGCTGTCCGAATGAAAGCCAGTTTGAAACCCAGTGTACGCTGTCAACTGTTCTTGTTCCATGTGGAAGGGAAGCAAAATGCTGTCAGGCTCTGGAGGTGAGCAGTTGGTCATGTCACCGATTGTTCTGACCACACCAGTCATTTGCATAGGCTAGGAAAGCGTTTGACCAAAAAGCATCTCTAGAATTTCAATGTAGTAAGCGGGGCCAGTTTGTTAAATTGTCAGGTGAGCAAATGCTGGAAGAAGAAACCAGGTGATTTTTGAACTACTGCTGGTCAGTGAGTCTAGCTGTTCTTCTTGGGGATCCAGATTTTGATGCTTGTTTCTGCTCTGCACAGCTGATGGCAGTGCCACTGCCTGAATCCAGATAAAGCAGAATATTCTGGAGAAGACCGTGAGTGTGACCAGGATCATCAACAGGTAACTTCCTGTATGGATAAACTGTTAATCAAACTTAAAATAAACTTTCCCTCAATTTAGAGATTTGATTTAAATTAAAAGCAAAGATTGCTTAGAGTAGAAGACAGCTGGTTGTTTTTATGTTGGTTCTTGTATATCTCTTGTCTGCAGTAGAGATAAATATACCTTGGGGGAAGAACGGCAGGATGATGCAGGGTCTGCTTGAGGGAGAAGCTACCATCAGACATGTGGCTGTGTAGGTTTGTATCTGCAGGTTCAACAAGAATTTGGCCTCCGAGTAGGTACCGTGCCTTTCAGCAAGCAATGAGAACACATCTTTTTGATTCATGAATTTGGCCATGTAAAAAGCTTTCAGTGTAATAACGTATGGGCTGAAATTGTGTACAGCTGTGAATTGGATAGTACTTCAGAGAGGTGAATGCTTCTCGTCTACTTTCTAATTCTTTTGTTTTCAGTAGTTTAAAAATAAACCAAATAAGTTTGTGGCAAGATACCATTGCTTAGTCTGGCATGTAATTTAGAAGCAGAACTGGTACAGGGGTGACTTTTTGCTGCCGTATCTGTAGTGAGCTGTTTCTTGATGGAAGAAAGGAAGAGATGGGCAGTACATGAGGCACTAGGGCATTAAAGTAGCTAGCAGGTAGGTTGTGCTGTATGACACGGTGTCAGTGCAGACTGTCCCTTTATGGTTGAGGCAGACAGCTGCCAGATGAACCTTTGAAAGAATTCTGGTGACTCGGGAGATGCTGAACAACGAATGAGTTGGTCTTCGTGCAAAGACTTCTGGTTTCACAGAAATGGCCCAAAAGCTTGACTGTTGCATGCAAAGCCCAGATGGTATCTCGTGCTTGGGTTTGGAAGGGTAATTTCTGTGTTTGATCAGATTTGTAGCTGCCTTGTGATTCATCTGTTACAATCACAAGGAAGTTTGGATGCTGTTAGGGGCAGATAGTGTTCATGTTGCTCAGCAGAGGGGCAGACAAGCAGCAGGCCCAGCCATGTCCCCCCAGCCCCTTGCTTTGGACTGCAAACAGCACCTTGGCACTTCAGATGTTTTTGTAACTATAAGACCAATTCCTCTTGGGTTGAAAATTTGGGAATGCAATGTACAGAAGAAATGGAGAGCTGAGTTGTTTTCTATCGTGTTGCTTCTTGCAAATATGCTTTAAGAAAAGGGAAATAAAAGACTGCCTGAGGAGATATTCCTCCCTGCATCAAAGTCATCATCTGGCAGACTGGGTGGAGAAAAACATACGTTGTTTGTTTGAGCTCTGTGTAAATGAGAATTAAAGATGGTAAAAATATTTTTCTTGAACTTTCTGCTACTGAGAGTTCACTTTTCTTTTTCCTCATAGCAACCAAGCAAAGGGTTGGATTTCGGTATTCCTGGGTTTTCTTCCAGCTTGAAATTGCAAAACCTAAAATCACAAGTGCAGGAAAGAAACAAAAAGCATCCTCAGAGGCTGGAGCAGTGGAAAGGGAGGAGGAAAGGTATGCAGTAGAGATGGTGCTGCAACTTGCCCTTTGGAATGGAAAATAAAGCTCTTTTGGGTGTTTGGTTTTTTTTTTTTTTTTTTTTGAGACAGAACAAATTATTACACGAAGTTCACTCTTTGAATCACGTCCAGTACAAAGTTCATCTGATATGCGAAATGCAGTTCCACGTTTACAAAAGTGCTGAATTTGACTTCATTGCATCCTCTGAAAGACTACACTGGCAGCAAATAAAATACAACGTGCCAGACATTTCTCCTGAGAAAAATAACAATCACTAGTATTTCAGCCTAAATATCTCAAATGCCAACAGCTTGAGGTTTTTTTCTTTAATTTTTTGTTTCTTGGAGGAATCACGATTTGAACTCTGAGGCATTAGGAGCAGCCAACTCATCCTGTGTGATAGTGGTTATTGCTTGAAAATGTGCTTTGGTCACTGCCAAAACAAAGAAGTGTGTATCACAAAGATAATCCTTCTCTGGCCCTCCATAAATCTGTCTTGAAAACTGCCCTTGGTAACAGGATTGTCTGAGGATGAATGACACAAGCTGTCTCACCATGTTGCCTCCTTTGTTGCACACTGCAAAGATGTTTATAGAGTGATGAACTGGTATTTCTCAAGACTGATTCCCACCCCCTCCCCCATATGCTGGATATGTTTACTGTGCAGCCATGACCACTGACAATAATACTTGAAACAAGACAAATCTTTGCAGGCTTTAAGAGTCAAAATGAATCCAAAACTCAGTGTAGATTTGCTGAAATGTTATGTCCACAAGGGAAGACTAAGGCTGCTGCAAGGATAGATTACACTAGCAACAGCTAACGCAATTTGGAGGGTCCTAGTAACTCCTACCAGGTAATCATTTGTTTTTGTAGTACTAAATCTGGAAAAGGATTTGGCAGTGCCATCTTCATGCCGCCTGGATTTTGTGCACAAGGAGGGGATTGCGTTCTCAGACGATTGACTGACATCTCCTGGAAAGAATGACTAAAAACTAGACTGCTGAAAAATTGTTTATTTATGGCAATAACCTAGATAATTATAATCTTTTCCTCTTGGATTTATTGCCAAGAACAAGGACTTTTAGGTAGCTTAATTTCCTTTCTGCATCTAGTTCCTTCCTCCTGTCTTGGGGCTAGGTTTGTTCCCTTTACAAGGCTGAAGGACAATACAGGCAGTGTTAATAACATGCACCAGGGAACCGGCTTCTCAAGATCGTGGTTATAGTGAAATTCTGTTTACCCGAAAGTAAAATGAAAGAGAATTGGCCAGTGAAAAATACAACTACCTTCTAATATGCTGAAAACTACAGTGGTGATCATTATACCTGCCCAGATCACAGATGTGTTGCACTTCATTCATTAAAGCTTGAGAGATGCTCCTGCTGTGGTACCAAGGACTGCAAATACATAGACTGACATGGGCTCTAGGCTAGGCAGGCCGAAACTGAACTCCCACGCAGGGACTCGGGAATGCCTTCTGCCAAGTGCAGGGGAGCGTGCCCCACCTGACTCACACCTCCTTGGGGAATGCAGACCCCCAGGGTCAAAGTTAGACTCGAGCATACAGGTGGAGATACCATCTCTAACATTTCAGCGTACCACACCTTATTCTTCTTGAAGATTCCTGTGTGCACCAGGACAGGAGAACAGGAGAATTTGGTAGCTTCTTATATTAGGAATCTCAAACCCACGCTCAAACCACTCTCTTGTC